GGAAAGTTGTGAAGAGGATGTTGTCGTGGAGATGTAGTAATGGAGCCGTGACGGTAGAGAAGAAAAGAATGGAAGGCTCGGTTGGGTGAGGGAGTTAGAGGAAGGCGTGTCTCTAGTGGTGGAGGATCCACCGGAGGAGAAGGTCGGAGGCGCAGAGGAGGAACTGACCGGAGAAGGTCAGAGATGAGACAAAGAAGGTGCTCAAGGGGATGGATCTGTCCCGTTCTGGAGAAAGTGGGAAACGGATGGTTAAAACAGATCGGAATCAAACTAAACTTTATGGGTAAGTAGTCAACGCTCTGATCTAGTTATAGTTGAAAGAATTTTGTCATTCAGAATTATAGATTGAAAGTTATGGACGTTTTACTGGGACTGATCTGTGCAGAGCGCGTCTGCGACAAGCTGAACTTACGGAAGGTGTTCGACCAAATCCGACGGAACTAGAGTACAATCTAGATGTTTCTGGAAATAACACGTTGTGAAGATTCTGGAACACTTTTCCGATCGCACATCCGACGTATATTCTGTCCGGAGATTGATCTCAAAGTTGAGCAAATATCACAGTTTCTGAACCCAAAATATTTTTCAAGTATATATTCAATATTCCAGTTTCAAGCTGCCATTTTTTTAGGGTGATTTCGGTCATATAACAGCACTTATGGTCATGAATATGGTTGTTTCTGATAGAGGACATGTCAGTGAAGCCATGGACGGTTATTATGTGGTTGTGGTGATGTTTGCTTGCTGCGCAAGAATCAGCAGAGACTGAAACTGTCAGTTTCAGAAAAATTTCCGTTGCAGCCACTTTGAAGGTCTGTTAAAAGATCTATATGAAGTCCGATCAGGCTGTCAATTGGTGGAGTTTCTCATGACACTACTGTCTTCAGAATCAACGGTCGGATTCTTGAATGAACGGTTAGTTTGCTATTTATTTGTGTCTTTCTATGTATGTTAACTACAGTCTAATTGATTGTAACGGATTGTAATGGTTGGTTAGGTAAACGAGCTCGGATTGAGCTGAAAATTGGCAAGAATCTTATGGACCTATGATCTGAGATTGTGTCAAAGGAGAATTCGAGTTGGAGATTGGAAAGTCAGTAAAGTAAAGGAAGCTTTGTGGCTAAGGTGAGCTTTGTTGGCTAGATAACTTTAATACTCGTTAACAGTAGATGTTTTTACATGTTAAGTTTAGGAATGGAATGTGATGTGGTTGGTTATATATGCTAAGTCTAGGGATGCTTGATGTTGCTTGTTGCTATATGGTAGTTTGTAATATTGTTTGATGTGTGGAAACTGTTTGATAAAGTTGTATGGTGCTAGATAGAGAAAGAATGTTAAAGATTTAAAAAGAATTGTTTGAAATTGTTAGAGTATATGATAGTAGAGTATATGATAGTTCTGCGAATGATCGCGTATGTAAGCCCGTTGCAGAACTTGGGTGTTAGACTACGAACGATTGCGTATGTAAGCCCGTTGCAGTCTAGGCCTTAGAGGGCCATGACGGAGAGGACAGACCCAAAACGCAAGAAAGAGGTTGGCTCCGCCGTGAATTTAGGAAAAGTAAAGAAAGTAAAGAATGTGAAAAGAAAAGAAAGTAAAGAATGTGAAAGGTGAAATTTTTAAGTATGATAATGTATAACTAAAAGATATTATGGTGTAGAAATGTTCGATATGAAGGTTATGTTGCTAGTAATAAGTTGGGTGATGCATGTTCTATTTCTGGTTTAATGTGTTTGATTGCTTATTGTTTTCAAGTATTAGAGTGGTTGTGGTTAACAATTTCACTGAGTAATTTTTCCCGGAATTGCTCACCCCTCTTTTCCCTTTCTTTTAGTGTGTTGCAGGTGTATTTCTTGTACTGCAAATTAGGGCGCGAGATCTAAGACTCAAATTGATCGGGGAACGGGTGTGTCAGAAAACTTTATGTATACGGCTCTTTAGTTATTTGGTCTCATGTGTGCATCGTTTTCATGTATGTTATGGTTTCATGCCAAGTTCAGGTTGGAACAACACTTTCGACTACTTCTAGAAAGACCAATGATAAACAAGTAATAATTTCTTCCTCTTTTTCTACATACAGTCCATGACATCAAGGTTTTCCCGTTTGCTAGTCAGTTTTTATTTTTCTTGCGTGTCTTCTTCCATTTACAGTTCT